GTCACTATTTTCAAGCCAGATTATTAGGAAGTCTGGGGCAGGGTTGGTTTAGCACGAATTATGTGGAGACCCATAGCCTTCCATCCAACTTCCCAATGTGGGAGAAATCAGTTACACAGGTGTCCAAGTGGCAACCTCCCCAGTCCTGAAATCCTGATACTGCCCTGCAGGCAAGGTCATTCAGCTGTGGCTTCTCCAGAGACCAGGGCTAAAATGTGGCCATATCTGCCCCTAAGGCAGGGCCCCTCACCTGGACAGGTTCTCCATCGCGCCACACCAGGCCTTCTCCATTACTTTCCCAGCGAAGGTGAACTTCCTGACCCACCCATGCCTCTGGGATGGTCAGTTCCACCCGGAACCAACAGGTCCACCATCTGCAAGAGAGTGATGGAAATCTGCCTAAAGGTCGAAGCTGCTTCCCCATCGTGTTGACATCCTTCCTTTAATTAAGTGTCAGCAAGGAGCTTGAAACCTTCTCCAAGCGTCTGCAAAATGACAAGGTGCTATGGGCTCTAAGGCACAAGAAAGGAGCAATGAGATGGGCTGCCAAGCGAGATCAAGAGGCAGAGGAGTCAGGGACATGGGATCGTGCTAGGATGATCTTTCTAAAGGGTATCCAGAGACTGTGGAAAAGAGGAAGATGAAAACCTTGAGGGATCAGGGAGTTGTTCCCAGCAGAGGGTGCTGCTCTGTCTCCTGTGGCTGTCTAGGGCAGAAGGCAATGGGGAGGTGTGGCCCTTAGAGGTGGTGAGCTCCCTGTGCTTCCGCAAATTAGTAAACCAGGAGGGGAGGCCCTTCCCTTCGGTCCACGGGTCCCGCCCTCCCTCTGGGCGTTACCCACGTGGGTCCGAAGTGGTCGCCGACCTGCACCGAGCGGAAGTCCTGTTGGACTGCCTGCTGGTAGGAAAGCCTCTCAGGTGTCAGGAAGCTGGAGAGTGCCGCCACGGGACAGCTGTCCCTATAGAGTCTGTGCGAGAGGGGCCGGTGAGAGTGTCCTCGAGGCGGCCCCCTTTCCACCCGCGGGCCGGCCGGTGGGTGAAGACGCGCGTTTCCTCGATCCACCGGCGACCGGGCTGCCCAGCAGTCCCGCAGCACACCCTTACCCCGCCCTCCGGGGCTCCTGCCCTGTCCCCGGCGGAAACTTTATCCCGCGGCCCCGGTGGCCGTAGCCTGGGTTTCCCCCCGGAAGGGAAAGCTGAGGCGCGGATGCGGTCGGCCGACCCCCCAGGAGAGGGGGCGCACCTGCCGCGGAGGTTATAGTCAGTAAAGTAGATCGGCGACACAAACTTCTCCACCCGCTCCAGCGTGGTGCGCCAGTGCTTGAGAGCCGCCGCCATCGCCGCGCGGCCACTCCTCTACCCGGAAGGTCCTTTTGCGCTGCCCGCGCAGTCTACCGCCTGCAATCAAAGGTTCCGGCATCCGAACAGCGCCTTCCAGCTCCGGGCAGCTTTTCTTGGAACACCGACGGCTCTCGGAAGCATAGCTGCGCTGAACTTTGAACGGGGGCGGGGGATGGTGGCTGAAAGGTAAAGGCCGCGGTTTCGAGGCCCTCCTCTGCCACATCGGAGCTAGTGGGCCGCTGGTTTCCCTGTTATTAAAACGGTAAGTTCGCGTTCTGATCCCTAAAGGTATCGGACTGCGATATGGGGCCTATTAGGCACTCTGTGAAAGAGCTTCGGCTACTGCATTATCAGATCACACCCAGCCTCAGAAGCAGCTAGCTGGACCCCTGGCTCTGCCTATCTCCGTGAACTCGAAAACTGGCGTCTGCTTAAGGTGGAAAGGGCTAGGAGACCGGGGATGGGTGCTCTCAAGCTGATCAGATTTTGCAACCAAGTAATCTCGGCTTTTTCCTATTACATGTTGTATTTTATGTGTATCGTTTACTTGCTCATCACCAGAAACTCTGGATTTTGATGAGAAGGCAGGTCAGTCGCAGCATTTAGGATCCCAATAGAATGTATTTCACCACAGAGTCCAGGGAAGCCATAATGCCAGAAACAGACCTCCCATTTCATCCTCAGGTTATCCTAGTGGTCCATTAGTAGCTTTATGCTCTTCCTCCCGGGCCTGTCAGGGAGTCTTTGTTTAAAATCATTAGGAAGAAAAGTATATACACAACATTAGCCCTGATAATTTAATGGAAATACTGACCACATTTACATTTCAAATGCATATCACACAGGAAGGTGACAAGTACAGAATACAAAATGTGATTTAAAATAAAGATAACTTTCTGCTGTAATACAGCCTGGGTTTATTAGAGCTTGGAGCTCAGATGTCAGACAGCAGGAAGGATGAAAAATGCTACCTGTGAAAACCTGGCTGCAGACTGGTGGGTTTGGGTTTTCTCTTGTGCCCTGAAACCCCATCCTGACCTGCAAGCGGGTGCTCTGGGCGTAACACTGTGGGGGCAGCAATAGCTGGCGCTACCCCTGGCCAGGCCCCATCAACTTCCCACATGGTTCCAGGTCAACATGATCCTTCTAGAGGGATCAGAGAGGAAATAGGTGAGTTATTGCTGGGAAAACCTTAAGATCAGCACTCATCACTCCACCCACAGGTTGGGCACCTCCCCAGCTTTGCCCTGTAATGTCCTCCCATCTGGCTGGCTCTTCTTGCCACCTAACACTCTTGGGCTCACAGTGTCCTGTCCTCCTACATGAAAAACAACAAAAAAGCCTAAGATCACAGAGCTGGTCTACCATGTGTTTTGAGAGTCCAGGCGCCAATTTTTTTTTCTTTTTGGTGTGGTGGTGGCAATTTTTAATTACAAAGCAAACAAAAACAAACACAAAACACTGTTGGTTACTTTACAACTCTGACTAGGGCAATGGTTGCTGGAGAAAAGTCCATCAGAGTGCTGGGAGGGGTTCCAGTTGGTCTTTGTTCAGAAAGTTCAGGCTGACCACATATAAAAATCCTCATCATTCATGTTAAATGTCTGCCAGTTTAAATTTATGTAGTTAAAAATATATGTGTGTGTGTGTGTGTGTATATACACACACACACACACACACATATATATGTATCTCATTTGCAGTCGCTAATGAAATGTATCAAATCCTCTCCCCCGCAACCCCATTTATACCACATATCTTATACACACTTGTTTCAAATACTGGTTTGGTATTTAAGATGTTCACTTCTATTCCCAATAAAAATATACAGAAATACAAACTATGTAGCTTGACAACTTACCCAAATATAAAGGATTTTCAAACAGTTGAACAAGGGAAAATGAAAACATGTACTAAAGAATGAAGTATTCTATTTTTAAAATTTGGAATATCCTGATTTGGGACAACTGCAAGTGACAGTTAACTACTTAAAGCAAAATCCTGTTTGTGCCCTGGATAAGGAGTTGAGCCCAAAATCCCTGCTTCACAATAGTTTCTGGTGAGGACAAGGGACTTGGGCTGAGAAGTTATTCCTTAAGTAAGAACCAAGCTTTATTTATTTACAAAAAAAAAGAAAAAAGTTGGGGGTGAGAGGGAAGAAGACAAGTTTTACACAAAAGTACTACAATGGTAACTCCCTTTGGTAAAAAGTGTAATAAATGTCTTGTACATCTGTTCATAGGTACTAAATCTGAAGCCACATAATACTATGGTACACAAGAAGCTAGAGCAGTTATGCTAGCACATCAAATCATACTTCTTTTAATAAAAAATTGACAGTCTGTACATTATTTACAAAAAAAAAAGTTAAAATTGTGTGTGTGTGTGTGTGTGTGCATGTCAGAGAGTAAAGCTGGTGGATGGCACTAGGGTAGACTAGTAAAGAAGCAGGTACAAAACAGTTCCACGGGAGCTAAAAAGGATGACTGATTTGAACTTGTCGAGGCTGAGAACCAGAGAAGGGTGGGCAGCAAAGGATTCGTCAGGAATCAAATCCACACGATGATCAATCCCAAAGCCAAACTGCAGGTCCCAGATAAAACCTAATGGGTGACCTAGATGTGCCTGAGTGACCAGGGGGGGAAAAAGAAATCCAGTTTGTTTGTTTTTTCTTTCCTTTTAGGGGGAAGAGAAGGAACAGTGACCATTACAGTTACAATCCATTTGAGCTTCAAGTCCTTCCCCAGTCTGTTTTGTAAAAGCACTCCCATCTGGGTCAAAGTGTGAACAGCATCTGGTTCCCTCACTGAAGGTCAGGCCACAGGAGACTCCAGTCTCAGCTCTACTAGTGTGTGCAAGCAAGTAGCATGTCTCTGTGCTTGCAGGGACTTCCTTCCCCTCCAGGGCAGGCGAGTGCCCAAACACCCCTTAGGAAAAGTTCCGGCTCTGGCTTTGTCAGGTATCCATGTTCCTCATATCCATGTTCCTCATATGTAGCCCACTTGGTACCAGGTTGCACCAGCCACACACACAGATCAGGTGGCCATGTCCCAGAGAGGCCCAGTGAGGCTTGAAAGGCATCTTCCTTGTTTCTCCAGTACGCGTGAGTGCACATGCACACACACACTCCCCCCTCAGGTTATCTGCTCTGGCTTTGCAGTTACGGGGCTTTGAATACTGTGCCGTATTTGACACGGTACTTGTTAAT